CCCATCACCTTCAACCGAAATGGAAGATGACACTGGTTCCTATAGTTGCTATTTAATCGTTCCTTCCGCCTTGCTGCTGGATAAAGTCACTTTATTCATTTCCCTTGCTGCAGGTTAATCACCTTTGTTCTGCTTGTTCCCCTCCGGTGTTGGGAATTTCAACAACTGATGATAAGCCGATGGCACAACCTTCATCTCATGAATCCAAGGCCTACCAAGGATCATATTTTATCCCATATCGCCATCCACTACTTCGAACAAAATGGTATTTGTTACGCCTTCGGCGTGTGTGGATAGTAAGATCTCTCCTAGGGTCATTACACTCGTTAGGTTGAACTCGGCCAGAAGTTTTGTTGCCAAAGCTATATTTCCGGCAACTTTGCTTGCTCCAAAACTCTCAACTGAATGATATTGGTTGTGCTATCTAGATCAACCATCACACGTTTAATTTTGAAATCTAAAACATTAAGTGATATTACTAGAGTGTCATTGTGTGGTAAAAGAAGACCATCAACATCTTATTACGTGAAAGTGATTTCATCATCTTTTGATTCTTCTCGAATCCTCTTGCCATGAGTTATCGATATCTTTGTCTTCTTTGTTGCTGAAAATATCACTCTAATTACTTCAACACCACCAAAGAAGTGACCCTACAACCGGTTTGGCTGGTTTTGCAACATTTCGTTTCCTCCCATAATTGTTCTTGGCTCGATCACTTAGATATTCTCTAAGGTGACCATTCTTCAATAATGTTGCAACCTCTTCATGAAGGTGCCGACAGTCCCAGTGCTGTGGCCATGTGTTCAATGGAATTTACACCATATATTAGGATCCCTTTGACTAGGTCCGATCGAATTGGTTTAAGAAATCTTCCCTTCTTAATATTTCTCATAGCCGAAACCAGTTCTACCTAGCTGACATTGAAGTTGTAATCAGATAACTTGGGGTATGCTAATCCTGAGACCCCGATGGTTCTTTCTCATATAAAGCTTTGCTACTTCGACCACGATCCGTCCTTCTATCAGAAACAAACCTATCCGAATACTAAAATACTTTATTTCCATGCCTATCAGCTCTTTTGTACGGCTGAAAATGACTTCTGGAAGACCTCGGATCTGCATCAAAATCAGTTTTGAACTTTTCTTGATTCCATTCATGAGTGCGAACCTTGGTTGACACCGTTGATCATCTTTAATTCTGATTTTTAATTCATAATTAATGCGGACATCTGCCCATGTGGTTGCTTGAAACTCCAACTACTTTCCTTCAATTTCCTGGAGGCATCACAGCTAAGTGGCTGGAGTCCTTGTATGAATGCTTTAGCTACCCACTCATCTCGTACTGCCGACAACATCATCCTCTCCTTTTGAAACAGAATTACGAACTCTCGCAATAGCTCAGACTCTCCTTGAGCGATTTTGAATATGTCTGGTTTCCTAGCTTGGACTTTCCTTGGCACATCATGAGCTTTAATGAAAGAATCTACAAGCATTTCAAAAGAGTCAATCAAATGTTAAGGCATAAGAGAATGCCATGTTAAAGCACCCTTCGTTAAAGTTTCGCCAAATTTCTTTAACAAGACTGATTCGATCTCGTGTGAGGCCAAGTTATTTCCCTTTACAGCCATAGTGTAAGTTATGATATATCTTGTGGATCCGAAGTCCCATCACACTTCAGAATATCGGGCATCTTGAATCTTTTCGAAATCAATTCCGGGACCGCACTTGGTTTGAACGGCAACTATGTATACTTCTTTGAATCCGGTCACTTCAACACCGATAGTGTTCCCGGGATCTAATCCATCCGAGCATGGAATTCTTTAGCATTTTGGTCTATTCGTTCATTTCCCTCATAAATCTCATGAGCTCGATATTGAAAGGATCATTAACATCATTGTCGTTCCCGGATCCACTACCTGCACCACCTGTCTCATTTTTATTAAAATCGAACTCCTCCCTTGAAGTGATGTTACCAGTTCTTTGCACTATTTGATTTGCAGGCACGCTATGAGGAACTCGAATTCCTCCATTAGAGTTATTGGAAGCAATTGAAAGCACCTAATTCAACTCTGTCATTACTCGATCTTGTCTTGAGAGATGATTCATAATTTTTCTTTGTTGCACCCTCAAAACTTTAACTATTTCAACAACACGTTCATCATCCATATCATCAGGAGTTGGACTTCTCACATGCCGAGGATTTCATTCTTCGCGAATCAGAGTTGTTTCATCTCTTTCGTTGCGAGTTTTACTAGTTGAATCATCACGCTGGAACACATTCTCACGTTCATTGTTTGTTCCAACATTGTAAGAGTTGTTCACGTCGTTATCTGCCATATCTGATTTTTCTTTTACTAAAGAAAGTGTCAAACTACGTTAGTAATAGATGAATGGATCAAAGTAATAACACAATTGTCTTGCCCCACGGTGGGCACAAAACTATTTGCCTGTAAAACGGTACAGTTGAAATTGTAATATGGTTTATAGACACGTGAATTAATTTAGTCCAAGAATATAAATAAGTAAGAACAGAAATAAATTGACTAAAATAACTTGAAGGAAATACAAGCTGATTGTGGGCTCAGTTTCTCCGGTAGCAATAATAAGTGCAATATCAAGAACAACAAAAGAGAAAGTAGTTTTATAGAATAAGAGCAAATTTTGGCTTTTGTGTACAAATAATTTTCATGTCCTATAATGAATACAAATTCTCCTAGTTATAGCTCTATATAGGGAGACAAGATCCTCAAATCAAACTTTTCTTTAATATGAATGAAACCTCTCTTGACGGTTGCATAATGGTTGAACATTAATACAGAGATTCTTTGTAACGGCTGCTCATTGAATGTTGTCTTTTCCAACCGATGTCTTCCTTTCAAAACTTCGTTCTCGGTTCCAATGCCTTCGGAACTTATTCAGCACTGGTCACATGTTTATAACCGATGATAGCTAATTGCTGACTCATACCATACCTATCTTTACTTCTATGTGTCAACTTGTCGAGCACCCACCTGTCGTTTATCAACTTTACCCCATACAATAACGTGGGAAGCTAAGGCAAAGGCTATCTTTGATTTCATGTTCTATGTGTCTCTAGTCTAGCAACAAATAATTAATTGGAGTTCTCCTTTCTACTTTGTTTCCCTCCAAAGCCTTTTGTCATTCGAACTAATGGCGTTTAACATGCCTCATTTCTTTTGATCCAATCCTTGGGAACATCATAATTCATATATCATATTATTGCAGTTGTGAACGGATGTCAATGAGTGTTATTCAGTGCCCATTGTGTCTCCACGACTATAGTTCCATAGTTTAGTATATATATTACAAATGAATAAATTTTACACTTATACGTTAATTAACTTTCCTATTGCAACAAAAGGAAGTAATCTGATGAAGAAAAAGAAGCATGAGATGAAAATTCTTGGGATCCTGTAAGATATGTTCAAGTAAAATTCTACGTATATATCTATACACATGTTAATTCAAGCAAAGTCAACATAATGTCTATTCTAATTGAGTTTTACAGCTAAAGGCTCCTTCCATGACTTAGCGGGGATATAAGACTAACCACTCTAATATTGCTATGTTACACTACAAGTTTTTAGGCTAGAGTTGCATTCAATCACCTAAGTAATTTAGTAATAATTGTAATTTCATATTACTCTTCATATACTGCAGTTGGTGTATAATTTGTACTTAAACTGTAAAAATTGCACGGGTTAACCTATACCTATTTTTTTTACAATATTTTAACTTGTACCCATTTTTTAAACAGCTTCAACATCCTTTCTCCTCCTCCTTCTCCAATACTCGCACCATTATAGAAAACCAGCTTTGCCATGGGAAACAAAGGCTTTTCCAATACTCGCACCATTATAGAAAAAATAAACAGTGTTGTCTCTGTACTTGTAAGGTCCAAATTGGTGTTCTTGACACCAAATTCAGCATTCATTGTAATGTTGAAATGAAGAGTTTTCTGTATTTTTGGACAACACATCAAAGGTAGCGGACTGGACGTGAAACTTGGGAGTTCTGACTTTCATTATGTACAATGAAGAGAAGAGAGTGATTGCAATTTGAAACACAGTAGAGAGTGCAACAAAAATTAAGAATTTCTTGCGTTTATTTTTGCTCAGCTCTTTGGATTGTATGGAGTTGGCTGATTCTTCAGCTTGCTTTGCATGTCCGTTAATCTGAAGTTGATGTTCCCCTTCTACTACCATTTAGTTTCAAGTCAAATTTTATTTCAAAAACTTCAGCTTATATAGTGCTGAAGTTTTTACAAATGAATTAAATAACTTCAGCATCTTCTACTTAAGTTTTTGAAAAAGCTTATCCAGGACAAAAAAAACTTCAGCGTTTTTAGTGCTGAAGTTTTTACAAATGAACTAAATAACTTCAGCATCACAAAACTCAACTACTAGAATGCTTAAGGTCAACAAATAGAGAACAAAGCTTCAGCACTAGAATGCTTAAGTTTAACAATTACAAACAAAAACAAGTTCATCAAATAGAGAACAAAACTTCAGCACTAGAATACTTAAGTTCAGCAAATAGAGAACAAAGCTTCAGCACTAGAATGCTTAAATTCAGCAATTACAAACAAAAACTTCAGCACACTTGGTCTACTTCAGGCCCGACTACTAGAATGCTGAAGTTTTGCGTGACTGCCTTTGCTACTTCAGCGCTGTATGCTGAAGTACCGCGAAAAAGTGGGTACGCTTGCAATTTTTTTGCAAAGCGGGTACAAGTTAAAACGTGACCCAAAAAACGGGTATAGATGCAAATCCCCCACTTAAACTAAGTAATCCCTTTTATTATCAGGCAAATCCATTAAAGTTGATGAGATTTCTCAAAATAAAAAGCAAAAAAGAAAACGAATTAGAGGGACCAAAGTATAAATAAAAAAAAAACAATAAGGGAGAAATTAATAGACTCTTTATTAAAAAGCGTACAATCACTACAACCAAAGGTACATCTATAGCATACCCAAATATGGACATCACCATTGATATGAACTATTATTGGCATCTTCAAACCCTTTCTTGCATTTTGGTTCCAGTGGCACAATAAATTAAAAAATTCTAGAAATATGAGACGTCCCGGTGGACATTACGGTGGTGGTGCTGATTCCGGCGCTGACGCTACATATAACTCAGGCCCTCATACGATGCAACAGCAGCAGATAAAATCTGAACATAATCAATGGAGATGGGAACGAGAGAGCCCTAAATTACCCACTAATTCCATGTCTCCCAACATGTTTCCTGATGGTAAATTTCTTCTCTAAAAATCTTGCCTTCTTCTTTTCTGCTGAATTATTCGATGTTTTGTAGATAAATTAATTAAAAGTTTCATTTTTTCAGATGTCCTTTATAGTAGTATTTTCCCTAGAAAACTAGGTGGTGTTTTTTTATTTATATTGTGTTGCTCTATCTTTTACAATGAGATATCCATTAGTTAGATTAAAGTGAGGAACCAATGCAAACTGCCATTTTGTTAGTTTCCTTCTGATTCTTTGCTAGGCAATGTGTGGGAATAATCGTTGCGTCCAATGTGAAGGAGAATAGTCAAGACCATATAAGCTACTTTAGAGACCGTTATTTTCAATGTTGTACGAAGAAGTAGAAAGATGCCAAGCAGGTGAGAAATAGTACCATTAATTTGCTATATGAGAAATTTAGAACAAAGGATATATTCAAAGTTGTGTGGAGTATGATGTGTTAGACTGATGTGTCCTATGATGACGCTTTGGGAAAGAATATTGGAGTGTAGACTTGAGGACATTACAATGTTGATGGAGTACTGGTTTAGATTTATGTAGAGTGGATCCACGAATTGAGTTATAATTAGCTAAAAAGATTGATGAAAATTTGTAAGGGGAAAAGAATCTCCATATGATATTCATTGTTTTGAGAAGCAAATGATAGAAAATGAAGATAAGTTTTTTAGTGGATACTTGTGATTTGAATGTCATAAAGCATACGGCCAAGGAAGTAATCTCAAGTGTGAGAATAGTGGGATGAGATAATAGTAGCTTTTTGTTTATATGGATTTATACTGGAGATCTACCTTGAGTGTGTACTTGTTTACCTTAGTTATAAATGAGCTAAATAACAATAATATATAAGATGAGGTTCGATACTGAATGCCGTTGGCAGATGATATTGTATTAATTGACAGAATTAGGAAGGGAGTCAATCAAAAAGCTGCCATTATGGAGAAATATGTAAATTAGAACATGTCTTGTCAGTTTAGCCTCTATGAGAAGGATAAACTTGAAGTTATATCAGACGAGAATGTGGTTCCTAAATGAATACACTACAATATCTAGATAGTCTTCCAAGAGAATTGACATCATGATAGATGCATATGTAACACTAAAAAATAAAATAGGATGACTGGAATGAGGGGTATTGTTGGATTGCTTGTGATGTTAAGATACCTGAGTAAAAGGCAATTTGATAAAATGATGATGAGGTCAGCAATGTTATATCACAAGATAAGTATTTTAGAAATGTCTATCTTGACATCGATGTAGTTGGGAGAAGGCACGGGAGAAAATATGATATATATTGATATCTTGTGTGTGATGCAATACAAGAGGTGCTATTTATAGCTACTCTATACAAAGGGGATACTACTCCTATTCCAATGTGGGACAATTACATAGCTATCTCTAACACTCCCCCTCAAGCCGGAGCATATAAATCATATGTACCGAGCTTGTTACATATATAATCAATGCGAGGACTAGTGAGGGACTTGGTGAAAATATCTGCAAGTTGATCATTCGATCTCACAAACTTCGTAGTAATATCTCCTGAGAGTATCTTTTCTCTGACGAAGTGACAATCAATCTCAATGTGTTTAGTTCTCTCATGAAACACCGGATTTGATGCAATATGAAGTGCAGCTTGATTATCGCACACAAGTTCCATCCGACTGATTTCACCAAATTTCAACTCCTTGAGCAATTGTTTGGTCCAGACTAGTTCACATGTTGCCATAGCCATTGCTCGGTATTCTGCTTCTACACTAGATCGAGCAACTACATTCTGTTTCTTACTTTTCCAGGACACCAAATTTCCTCCTACTAAAACACAATATCCAGACGTAGAACGTCTATCAGAAGGTGATCCTGCCCAATCAGCATCCGAGTACCCAACGATCTGCTCATGACCTCGATCCTCAAACAGTAATCCTTTACCTGGAGCCGATTTTATATACCGGATAATGCGGACAACTGCATCCCAATGACTATCACAGGGAGAATTCATAAACTGACTTACAACACTCACAGGATAAGAAATGTCGGGCCTAGTCACTGTGAGATAATTTAATTTACCAACCAGCCGCCTATAGCTTGCAGGATCGCTAAGCGGCTCCCCCTGTCCAGGCAGAAGTTTAGAATTCGGATCCATCGGCGTGTCAACAGGTCTGCAACCTGTCATCCCTGTTTCCTCAAGAATGTCTAACACATATTTCCTTTGAGAAATAACAATACCTGAGCTAGATTGAGCAACCTCAATACCTAGAAAGTACTTCAATCTGCCTAGATCCTTAGTTTGAAAGTGCTGGAAGAGATGCTGCTTCAGATTAGTAATACCATCCTGATCATTGCCCGTAATAACAATATCATCAACATAGACTACCAGATAAATACATAGACTTGAAGCAGAGTGGCAATAAAACACAGAGTGATCAGCTTCACTACGAGTCATGCCAAACTCCTGGATAACCGTGCTGAACTTACCAAACCAGGCTCGAGGAGACTGCTTTAGACCATAAAGTGACCGACGCAAGCGACATACAAGGCCACGAGACTCCCCCTGAGCAATAAAACCAGGTGGTTGCTCCATATAAACCTCATCCTCAAGATCACCATGAAGAAAGGCATTCTTAATGTCCAACTGATAGAGGGGCCAATGACGAACTGCAGCCATGGATAGAAAAAGGCGAACTGATGCCACTTTAGCCACTGGAGAGAAGGTATCACTGTAATCTAGCCCAATATTTGAGTGTATCCTTTGACAACAAGACGTGCCTTAAGTCGATCAATCTGGCCATCGGGACCAACTTTGACTGCATAAACCCAACGACAACCAACGGTAGATTTACCTGAAGGAAGAGGAACAAGCTCCCATGTACCACTTGTATGTAAAGCAGACATCTCGTCACTCATAGCCTGTCGCCATCCTGGATGAGACAATGCTTCACCTGTAGACTTAGGGATGGAAACCGAGGACAATGAAGATATAAAAGCATAATGGGGAGATGACAGACGATGATAACTCAAACCAACATAATGAGGATTAGGGTTTAGTGTGGTCCGTATACCTTTTCGAAGTGCAATCGGTGTACTAGGAGCAGGATCCGCAGTAGGAGCCGTGTCAGGTGCAGGACGAGAACCAGATGGGCCTGATGTAGGGCGCGAACGACGATGATAAGTCAAGAGTGGTGTTCCTGTGGCTGGGGAACTAGGAGGGATAACACTGGACTCCTCAAAAGTTGGTATGGGTGAAACCTCTGTGGTTGAAGGTGGAGGAGGATTACTAAACTCCTCAAAAGTCGGTATAGGTAAGACCTCAGATATGTCATGGTGGTCAGCAGAAGTGACATCAGTTGTGAAGAAAGGTTTAGACTCGAAAAATGTGACGTCAGCTGACATAAGGTACCTATGAAGATCAGGTGAATAACAACGATATCCCTTCTGAACACGAGAATAACCAAGGAAGACACACTTGAGAGCACGAGGAGCTAACTTATCTTTCCCCGGGGCTAAGTTATGAACAAAACATGTGCTCCCAAAAACCCGAGGTGGAAGAGGGTATAAGGCTGACTGGGGAAACAATATTGAATGTGGAATCTGACCCTTGATGGGAGATGAAGGCATCCTATTAATCAAATAACAAGCTGTGAGAACTGCATCGCCCCAAAAACGCAGCGGAACACGGGACTCAATTAGAAGTGTGCGAGCAGTCTCAATAAGGTGCCTATTCTTTCTTTCTGCAATCCCATTTTGTTGAGGGGTATAAGGACAAGATGTCTGATGAATAATTCCATGAGAAGACATAAACTGTTGAAACTGAGAAGATACATATTCTAAGGCATTATCACTGCGAAAAATGTGGATAGAGACACCAAATTGGTTTTTGATTTCAGCACAAAAACTCTGGAATATAGAGAATAACTCAGAACGATCTTTCATTAAGAAAAGCCAAGTACATCTTGAGTAATCATCAATAAAGCTAACAAAATAACGAAATCCCAAGGTTGAACTGACTCTACTAGGACCCCATATATCAGAATGAACCAAGGAGAAAACAGACTCTGCATGACTCTCAACACTACGCGTAAAGGAAGCTCGGGTATGTTTCCCAAGCTGACACGACTCACAATCTAATCTAGACAAACTGGATAAACTAGGCACCATCTTTGGAAGTTTGGATAAATTCGGATGTCCTAAACGTCTGTGGATTAGATCTGGAGGATCTATAACTAGACATGTTGTGGAATGACTGAGCGAGTTAAGGTAGTAAAGACCTTCTGATTCACGACCTGTACCAATTGTCCGTCCCGTACTGCGGTCCTGCATAATAAAAGAATCATCAATAAAATATATACCACAATTGAGGGCACGAGTCAAACGACTAACAGATGCAAGACTAAAAGGACAACCAGGAACATAAAGAACGGAATCTAGGGTGATAGAAGACAATGGGTTGGCTTGTCCAACTCCTTGTGCCTTAGTTTGACATCCATTGGCTAAAGTAACACTAGGAAGNATTCAAAGTGGTCGGAATGAAATAAAAACAGTAGGGGTAGGATCGGAATTACCAGAAGACCCAACTGTTCTGAAGGAATTTTTTCAAAAAATGGCCGGAAGTCCATTTTTTTTTTGAAATCACTATTCACGCCGGAAAAATAAAAAAGTGGTCGAAATTTGGTGTAACCTGGATGGGTAGGCTCGGAATTGCAAGGGAAACAATCTGTCCTGAAGAGTCGTCGCCAAAAAATGGCCGGAAGGTGGCCCACGCAACGTTGGAACTTCGCCGGAAAATTTTCTTTGGACAGCTACAGTACCGCCGGAGATTTTCACTGGGATTTGGTCGCCGGACAGTGACTACTCTTGTGGTAGTGTTGGATTTTGTGCACAACACTGACCGAGACAAAGCAGACGCAAAACAACTTTGAAAGTCGCCGAAAAAAAAAAGGGTTCCGGTGACTGATTTTACTTCCCGGAATCGCTGGAATTTATGCACAGCGATAA